GCATGTGCTTTATCACCAATGAATATAAATACGGTGACTCTTTTGGATCTGGTAACTCTGCAGAAACAATTCTATCATATGCCTCAGGAGAAAACATTTTTGATCCTTGTTTGAGGATAATCAGGAAATGAGCATGTGGCAATCCTCGCTTCTGAAATTCAATGACATAAGTATAAGCTGCAACTTCACCGAAGAGATTTCTTTTGAACAAATCATCTTTTAACTGCTCAATTTTTGCTCGGAATACCCGAGAAATCAAATCTGGTCTATTTTGAATTTCATCTTCATCTGATAAATGTAGTTTTATCTCTGGCCAGGATGGATTACATGTCATTGTGAGAAAGATGTCAGGTTTTCCATATCGTTGAACAAGTGACATGGCATCCATATATCTTCGACGCATGTCTCTGGGACCTCCTATAAAACTTGCTGGAAGAATAATCCGTTTACCAATTCTTGATCCTGAAGTCTCACCACTTGTTACACTATCCATTAATCCTTGATAAACCTCAGTTCTTAAGTGTTGCTGCCTGTGTCTGTGGAATTCCAACCGTGATGTCTCCAATTTAATATAGGTTTCTACTGAATATTGCTGCAGTAGTCTTCCTATGTGTAGTAAATTTGACTGATCACCATCTCTGACCTGAAACTTATATGCATAATATTCACGACAAGATACTGTTGGTCTCTTGATTTTCTTTTTCTTGGAGACTGTTAGAAATCAGCAAGAATATGAATTAGTTATTGAAGGGACAGACTTAACATATAAGTAAATTTGCATAAATATTTTGGAACTGTATTGATCGTAAAGACTGATAATATAAATGAGAAATTGAATAGAGAGCAGCAAAATATAAATGTATTTGAATGAGTTTTTCTGACATTGCGATTAATTTTGCAACTGATATCAGTACCTTTTTCTTCGGCAGATATGACTTCATCAATGTGTGAGCAATTTTGGATTGAGAGGATATTTTGGTTCTGGCATGTTGAACCTAACTGGTTAAGAACATCTGATCTTGGTATCCGCAGTATATCCTTGTGCCATCCAGTCTCACCCTTTGCAAATATAAGTGGATACTGAAGTGTATCATAGCAGCCGTAATATTGCTTTAATATGCGCTTGCTTCCTGTTTTTGTGAAAATCTGGATATTCCGAGTGCCATCACCAGTGTTATAATCATTTTCATTCCACATTGCTGCTACCTGAGACACTGCAGGAAGGTTGTAGACTCTTTGATCTAAACCTGGATCTGATTTCAAGAAAATTTTATGATCTTCAAGATCATGAAGGTCCACCAAACTTCTGATGAAAGTGGAATAAGGATTATCATGAAGAATATCCTTGAGTTGCTGGATAATGGATTCCCTGAACTTGCTAGAAATTGCCATACGATTGGCTATTTCATGTTGCGTGTCATAAAAATATAGTTGCAAGTTTGTTGCTCTTTCACCCTCAGAAGGAACCAATGGATTAATAAAATGGTAAATCTGGCCCTGTACTCTGAACGTATATATACCATTATTCCTTCTGCTAAAATTTTTATCATAATGAACGCCAAGGGATGTAAAAGCAAACATGTTATTATAGCTCCTGATGCACAATTGAAATTCTCTAGCTTCAGGGGTATTTGCCTTGTAAAGTTGAACTAATTTTTCTGGCATTTGAGTTTCTGCTAAGTGAATTTCACCTGCTGAACAACAAAATTTTGGTGGCTCCATGTAGAATCGCTTAGCATGACAAAAGATACAGTCTGGAACGTCTGGTAAAACACTTGGGTGAACTGGTATTTGTTGCAACAATGATATGTTTTTTCTTCTACGACGTGGACCTATACAATATGGAATATAGGCACTTCTAACTGACAGGAGAATGGAAAAAAGTATGAAGAATCTCAGTCACACTTATATAGACATACGTATATAGAAATCTATAGTATATAGCTACCAGTTGGATGCTGCAGATTGCTGGTTGATGGCCGGTCTTCAGATAGAACAATTGATAGTAGAGGATAGCAAGATTCCAGAAGAGATCACAACAAAAAAGAATGGGCTTAAAAGAGAGGGAAGTTAATAGTTCTTAGTATATAAGAAGAGAACAGAGATATAGTTGATAAATAATTCGTAAGCCTACCTAAATCTACAGCTGAGGAATCATCAAAGATATCTGTTTGAAAAGTTGTCCAAGGAAGGATGTTTTGAGGAAGCAGACAATCACTTGTTGCAAAAACTGTTAGTAGAAGAAAGGAAATAAGCAACAATAATTTGTGAGCTTTCATGAAAATTTGACGGTTAGTACAAAACAATTGGTTTAGGAGGCTCAAGAGTATACTTTCGTCAACAGTGTCATTTGTCGAGCTGAAATGCATGGCTGACTGATCAGAAGAACTAACAACAGGCATTTGAAAACATGTACACCCAGCTTTCAATAGAGCTGAAAGTGATACATCATTATGGATAGAAGCATCAACAAGTGTATCATCTATTGGAGAAAAAGACATAGCATGAGAACCGTGACTGAATCTGTTTTCATATTCAGTACTCTGTTGTGTTTTTTGTTGTCTCTCAGCTGCTTTCTTAGCATATCTTTCTCGTCGGCGCTGATTAACTTGTATACGACGCTCATCTTCAGAAATAGATTTGCGCTTTCGGCCCATATCACAAGGTCACTCTTAATGGCAAAAGTCACAGAAGTGACAGTGAATCTCATGGCAGAAGTTCCACGGTATTGATTATATAACAAGTGTAACAAACAAGATTCATAGAAAGTAGAAAAACATAAAAATGCGATGGTAATGAATGATAACAATAACAAATATGTTTAAATGAAATAGAAACAAGAAGAGAAAATATAAGCAAATGATATAGGTATCAGATTAACATGCAAAATCCAAATTAAAAAGAAATGCAGGTACCTTGAAAGTGGCGCAAGAAAAACTTCACAATCCAAATTAGCCAGGAGACAACTGATGGAAAAGCAGATATCAAAGGAAAAATGTCAATATCCTAAAACGATATGCAAACGATAACTAAATTTCGATGTTTATAGTGTAAATATCAGTTCTAAAAAACAGAGAATATAATGCATATATACATTTTGCGTTCACTATGACACTTTGTTTATATATTAGCCAGCAAAATACAATAGACCAACAGAAACGTAAGAGAGAAGACATTCATGAAAAAGACAACAGAAACAAAAGAGTTTATGAGAAAGAAAAATCATGTGTCCTACATCATGCACACATGAGACAGCATAGATGAGAGACAGATGAGCAAAAGGAAGCAAAACCAGAACTCACCAGCAAGACAAAGGAGGGAAAAAGTAAAACGCGAGCGGAACAAAAGAACACGAAACTTCTATGATTTTCACAAGAGGAAAAGGGAGCAAAAGATAGGAGAAAGATCACAGAACACCGCTAGCTAGCATCACGAAGATAATGGAAGCTTCGTCAAATATATAAATCCAAAGCATAGAAAAACTCAATAAATACATTAAAAACGATCAATGGCCAACAACAAGATAGAGAATGAGCAGACTTCACATGAACATTTAATGCACATGATATAGTCGAAATCCAAATTGCAGTATCAGGCAAATAAAAAACTGAAGACAACTGGACGTGCATGCAAAACAGACGCGCCATGCATGCTTTGTATCTTGTCAAGCACTGTAATATAAAAACACGCTTAGTTTCTAAAAGAAACAGTGAAACACCCACATGAGCAAATGCGAAGACGGTTAAAAAATAGAGCAAAATTGACGGTAAGCAAATAACCAAAAAGAAAACACCAGATTTAAAGCCACCGCCAAAATTGCTGGAACCAAAATAATCAGGGGAAAAATCAACACTTAGTTTAAGGCAACCGACAGAATCGTGGGGAGCAAAATGATGAGACAAACGTGGGATCTTATGACTTTGAAAGCGGTAAAAAGACAAAGATATCAAAAATTGAGCTGCAAATGACAAGATAACCAAGACAAAAGGACAAGATAGTCCAAAAGAAAGTTAGCAAATGAAAATGAACAGCGACAGAATTGTCCACATGCAGCTATGCAGCTACCAAAAGACCATGAAGGACAAAATGAGCAATGAAATCACAATATAACCGAGACAATCAATTGAGATGCACTGTTCATCGCCCTTCCACGCTTTATGTAAAGTGTAGATAAAAGGAAAACATACAAAACATGTTTCACACATCTTTTGGAATATCATTTTCAGCCTACTTAGGAGGTTGCAGAATTAGGAATTTGAAATATCAATACAAACTTTGCAACTGTTAATGGAATGCCATAACAAAGATTATTGATTCGTAAAGCCATCATCATTTCAAGAACTTACAAAACCAGAAGAAGAAGCTAAATTGAATGTTTCAAAATTACAATGAAGTAAGTTGACATTCTCAATATCACATGGGAGTTTTTGGAATTGAACTTATTTATTTATGTGGAACAATTGCAATATTTTAGTTGCAAATATTCATTGCGAGTATATCCATTCCCATTTCCAAAAATTTACAAAACATGGGAGCCGATAAGTTAAACTACGACCGTGTTTGGCAAGCAAATTTTTGACCAAGTTTGTCTGTTACAAGTTTTTTAACAACTTTAACTATAGTAATTTCAAAAAAATTTTCAAAAATTTTAAACTATATACTTCAAAATATCCAAAAATTTGCACACTTTAAAAATTTTTTCTACAATTTCTACAGTAAGTTACAGTAAAGTTTTAAGCAAACATCCAAAAAACTCACTTGTCAAACGGGCCTACATCATCAGGGAGTTTTGTTATTTGAATAATTCTATAAAATAAAATAAAAGATGGTCCACCCCTTCATTTTAAAATTCTTTTATTTAATTCTATCGTTTGTCAATCTTTGTGCAAGGGGACTCTTCAGTGTTCGGCTCAAATTAAAAAAAAAAAAAAAAAAAAAAAGTAGAGGGCCAAAAAAAAAAAAAACCGTGGAAAAATGGCAAAAAGGAAAACCCGAAAAAAGAGCAAAGAAAGAGAATGGGAAGGGTTTTTGAGGAGTGTTAGAAGACAAGAAGAATCAAAAGCAAGAACCCTAACACATCAATTCCGCTCTGTCACTCTCGTCCTTCCGGGTACCGTCCTCAGTCCTCGCTCCCTGCTTGCTTCTCCAGTGACGTCATCACCAGCCTCCCAGAACTCATCTCGCTCTCCGCTTCTCTTCCCCATTCCCCCTTTGCCCGCCCAGGTAAACCCTTCAATCTCTCCTTCCTCAATCTCCTCCCCCTCCCTCCCTTTTTTTTATCATTTAATAATATGGCCTGTTTGTAATGGCTGCGAAATGAGATTCCCCGCCTAGTACAAGAAACCAAAAGAGAAAAAAAAATCATTATGTTAACAACGAATTTCCTATTTCTTTTTGCATTTCTTTCCCCCTTGTTTCGATTGATATTAGAAACAACGGTAGTGAAGAGAAAGTGGGGAAAAAAACTTATATTTGCACTGGATTAAGAGAATCAGGCAAAGGAGTTTCATTTATTTTACTTTAAAAACAAGAAATAATTTTTTTTATATAGCCCTGGTAAGCAAAGTAGTTGCCTTTGAAAAACCAAGTTGATTGAAAGATTTGTTCTATGAATGGAGGAAATAATTTTGGTAGGGGTAGAATGTTAGGTTGTATGTCTTTTAATTTGTGTATTATAGCCCTGTTAGCCCATCATTTTTTTCTGAGGGTAACAGATCACAATGTCTGATATGTTGTTGCCAAGGAAAAAATTTTGAAAAAAAAAATAAATGGATAAAGAGTAGGACTGGTGTTATTTAAGAAAAGTTGAACAAATGGTTTTAAGGGTAATCAATTGAAGATTTTCTAGAATTGTTGTAGCGGTAGAGATTTCTTTTTTTATATTAGGAATTAAGAATCAGGTTGTCTGATTCATATACCATAACTGTTTGCGAAATGGGACGGTTTTGTGGAAATATAACTATGCTCCAAGCATCAATTGACAATTCCAGCGTTCATCTCATTATTTGTTTCGAAGTTTCAGAAATTTGAGTAATAGCCTACAATCAGTTATAACTGCCCAAATGTCTTTTTCCATTGTCTGCTGCAAAAATTGTACAACCTATTGGCGGATATAGAAATTCTGCAGAACTGTTGCTTCATATCTTTCATCCTATTAGATATTGTAGATGATTTGCTTTGCCATTGTAAGTGCCTGCAGCTGTTGTCAGTGTCAATCAGGTTAACAGCTCTTCTGACGGATACTTTTGGCCTCTGAAATTATTTTAACAAGCACTGCTGTTTGGAATAGGCAATATTCTTTTGCCTTATACAAGTCAAGACTTACTCCGTAGATTCTGAAGCTGGATGAAGAACTAATATACCTTTGTCCTTTGTTGCTCTGCCTGTCATATTATGCTTTTGGCATTTTGACGTGTAGAAAAACTTATAGTATGTTGAGTTGCAGAGGCCACTAGTGATAAAAAGAACTACGAGTATAGATGCACTCGAACCAAATTGACTAAAAACTTTGTATGTGTAAACCTTGTTATTGCATGCAATATTTTCATATTTATGTAGTCTGGATTTGTTTTTGGACAGTTTATGTCTCGACCTGCCTTTCCTCTTTCTTCTGTTTATCTTTTCTCTAAACTCATAAGTCCTTGAAGTCTTATTTAGACTATACGATTGGCTGAAGGATAGAATGTGATTGATCCCTTGTGACTTTGAAATAGGAACAGATGCCTTTGTTTTATGCTTTGGTCTGTCCTCTGTATGTCATTTAATTAGGAAGATTTAACTACCAGAATTTTGATAATGCCTGATTCTCTTGCTTTAGAAAAAAAAAGAAAGATAAGTAGTGCTAATTCTGCTCTCGGTAAACAGAAAAGAAGACTGGTCTGTTCTTTTGAAATTTGCTTGTGCCATCTCAGATCACCAGTATTAGTTTCATAGTACACTTCTATGTCTGCAAGTAATAGTAATTTATCTGCCAGTAGTTTGGCATACCATTTAATCAATCTAGATGCTGAAACAAGGCCAATTGTGCCATTTTTTTTGGCCCTCTCTCTCTCTCTGTCACACAGACAGTACTAAGGTGCTGCTTTCTTCTTCTTTTGTTAAGTTTCTCTTTTGGCAGAGAACGTGCTAGATTGAATTATTGGGTTTTACAGAGAACTGAAGTGTTTGTGAACATGATTTGCTATTTTGAACTGAAACAGTTAAAATCAGAAATTCGTCAGCAGTTGATATGTTCTAAGGTCTAAGAGTGTAAGACTGCAACTATGTCTGGTAATCCTACTTTTGGGGATGAGGATGCTTCATCTGGCTCTGGAGAGGACTTGAATATGTTAGATGGACACAGTAAGCGTCCGTCTGCAACACCTGGTTCAGGTCGTCGCAAGAGAAGCCGTAAGGCTACTGGTGATGCTATAGTTGATGCTATGCTGGAAATAGCAGCTGCTTCAAAGATGAGGGCAGCTGCAATTATGCGGAATGAGGAGCGCTTCGCCATAAGCAAGTGTATAAAAGTTCTGGATGAGATGCAAGGCCTTGATCAACGTGTCTATTTTTTTGCTCTGGATTTGTTTGAGAATCCCAATGCCCGAGAAACTTTCATATCTCTCAAAAGTGAAAGAAGATTTGCATGGTTGCAGGGGAAGTTTAGTGCTTCCTGTAGTTCAGTAGCGTGAATAATTTGCGGGTTATTTTCCTTTTTTTGGATTCTCAACGTGAATCTTATTTTGTACAATTCTTAGAGATTCACGAATTTGCTAACATTGTAGCTGGTTTGACACTATTGTTCTTTTGACAAATATAATGCAATTACTTTTAGCTTCAGTTGTTTCATTGCCACTTGTGCTTGTTTGCAATATATGGCTATTTATTTGGATTCACATCATTGTTGACAGCGTTAGTGATTAAGCACATTGTGTGGTATTATATGTGTTTTATGATTTGTTGTCTACAGACTTGACAACTGGCATGGATGACCTTGACATTGAATTGGATGAAATGGAACTAGTTGCAGCAGCTGCTGGTTACTACTATTATAATAGTATAACCACTCAGCCTTGTCGTAGTTTGTCACCCACAAAATCTAGTTTTATGGCTGAAGTACTCAATGGTCAGGATGACTTATGTCGGGAAATGTTTCGGATGGACAAACATGTTTTTCACAAGTTATGTGGTATTTTTCGACAGAGAGGCATGCTGCGTGACACGGCTGGTGTCATGATAGAAGAGCAGTTTGCAATTTTTTTAAACATTGTGGGTCACAATGAGCGCAATAGAGTTATACAAGAACGCTTCCAGCATTCTGGGGAAACCATAAGCAGGCATTTCAATAATGTTTTGAAGGCAATTAAGTCGCTATCGCGTGAATTTCTTGAACCACCTCCTCTCACTACCCCTCCAGAGATCCTCAGAAGTAATAGATTCTACCCATACTTCAAGGTTTATCTTCAAAACCCATATTTCCACTTTTTGTACAGTTAATCATTTATTACTTATTGCACTTCTCTCCTGTTTAGGATTGCATTGGGGTTATTGATGCCATGCATATCCCTGCCCATGTACCGGCTAAAGATCAATCACGATTTCGCAATAAAAAGGGGGTGTTGACACAGAATGTTTTGGCAGCATGTACTTTGGATCTTCAGTTTATATTCATCTATCCTGGTTGGGAAGGCTCTGTTGCGGATTCACGTATATTGAAAGCTGTTCTTGATGATCCGGATCAAAACTTTCCTCAAATTCCAGAAGGTTGTCTTTGACGTAGCAACTGTACCCTGCTGAATCTTTTGTTTATCTTTGTTATTTCTTATTTGTCATAAATTCCATATGGCCTTGACTTTGTTGTACAAAATTTGATGTGACAGGAAAATACTATCTTGTTGATACTGGCTATTTGAATATGGAGGGCTTTATTGCTCCATTTGAAGGCGTCCGCTATCACCTTCACGAATATAGAGGTGCTCACCAATTACCAAGAAATGCAAAGGAATTGTTTAATCATCGCCACTCATCTTTAAGCAATGCTATGTGGAAGTCCTTTAATGTGCTAAAAGAACGATTTCCAATCCTTAAACTTGCTCCCCAATATGGTTTCCACACCCAAAGGGATATTGTCATAGCTGCCTGTGTTTTACACAATCACATCCGGCGTGAGGAAAAGAATGACTGGTTATTTGAGAGTGTTGGTGCAAGAGTTGAAGAGCTGCGTGATTTTGATGATCAACCAGATCCACAGTTGGCTTTCCAGATACAAGATCAGATGGCAGCCTCTTTAAGAGACTCAATTACCACAGCAATGTGGAATGATTTTTACAATGATTGGGAGGAATGGTAACTCATGTTTTGGGATGTCATTTTGTGCCAAGGCCTGTTGTCTTGCCTACCTTTTTTGGGGCACCTGGACAGCCGAATGCTATACTTTGCACTTGGACTGGCTTCTAAACCCTGCTTTATTAGGTTAACAGTTTTGTTCAATGGGAAAGGACGGGTGGTAACTTTGCCTTCTCTGTAGCTGCTACCATGATGTGAGTAACGTATCTAGGAGCCAATGGGGCACTATTTTGATGTGCTTATGTGGATATTTCAATGGACTAGCCTTGGAGATAATTAACCCCCTCTTGTTTTGCTTGGTTCTTTTGTACAGGCTAGATTGAATAGAAGTCCAGTGAAACTCTCCCCCTGGATCCTAAAATTGTCTTTGTTGCGGTAGCAGGATGTCTAATTGCACTTGATGTTTTCTGTATGAATTTAAACTTATTTTCCCAGATTATCTGGAGCTCCAATTGCCTCATAGGAAACCTTTTTGTGAAACTACAATTATAGAATGAGCAACCTATCCAATGTTGATGACTTCAAGGTTTTGTGTGATCAGGTGCGAAATGAAGTACAAGAGGTTACCTGTTAAGTAATCAACCTTTCTTTCTGTGTTTTTCCCTTTTAATTTGAATTTCTTTGGGAGATGTCAGGATGAGGTGACCTGGGTTCAACCCCTACGTAACATGGAGCCACAACTGTTACAATTTAGTATTGCGACGTTCCTGTCCGAGGAGGTTAAAAACGCAGAGCATCTGAAAATGTTTTCTATTAGTTGTTTTTAACAAGATATATTGCATTTAGTCGATAATTGTGTTTTTGAGAGAAAAAAAGATGGTCAACCAAGATACTTATACAATCATTAGATAAGATGAAAAAGCCATCAACCAAACAAAGCATTTTTTTTTTTTTTTTTTTTGGGATAACCCTTGTTCCATGAGATACCAACAAAAAATTGGTCGGTGTAAGCCAATTTAAAGTTTGCCAAATCTGGATTGGTGGCAAGGAACTCAGGCTAATTTCAGGTAGTCTCTGGGCATATGCAGGTTGGGTGTTTATAACGTTTTTAGCTTCTTCATGGCCGCGCGAGTGTCAGACAAGAGACTAACCCGGTGCTAAGGTGCATAAAGGCAGTTTTGTTCCTAAATCTCAACATGGATTTGGGTATAAAGAGTTTTTTTTTTTTTTTTTTGGTCTTTTTCGGGAGAAAAAGTAAGTAAAATTTTAAGTGGGGCATAAATAGAATTAGTTGATGCACACCCATTTAAAACTATATCCATTTATGATTTGTCCATTTTAATCACTAGTTAAATTGGTACGTATGTGTTAATTGAATTATACCCATTCAAACAGGGCTAAGTCAACCATTTTCATAACTCTACTTCTAACCAATGACTGTAACCAAATAATTCCAGTAATAAGCAATATACAAATCAGGTGGTCAATCGCTTCTCATCAATTACATCATACACATTTATCACTACATTGTTTTTTTTTTCTTTTTTTTTTATCAACCAGTTCTGGAATCCTAATACAATAGTTAATAAACAAAATTATATTACTTCTGTTAAAATATCGACCATCCAAGGTATTAAATAGCCAATTATCACACAATTATTTCCTTACAAGCATTATCATTAACACTAATATATTTAAGGATGGGGCTAAATCCACACCTTTTACACCCATACTATTTATCAGGATTTCATAGGAACATTTTCAATATCAAAACTAACATTTTGTGGTACGAAAAGATGGCACGAATTAAGTTTATTTTTCCCCCTATTCAATTGCATCCTTTCATCATCCCTATTCCTTTCCTTATGATATTCACGAACAATAGCAGTAACTATTATCATCAGTTGGAGAATTTCGAACTTCTAGTTCTAGTGAATATGAAATCATTGTCATGATCATCATTTTTTTTATTACCAATTGATATTTGAAAATCAAGTATCACTCTTCAATTTTGATCCTGAAATTTTTGTTTTTTTATTATCAATAATATTTTTGCTATGCTATGGTACATTTTAGTTGATGATGATAGTTGCTACTATAAGTCTTCAGTATTGAAAGGTACGGATAGGAGACGATAAAAGGAAGTAGTAAAGTGGGAGAACAAATGAACTTGATTGGCTCCATCTTTTTCCACCACAAAAAGGTTAGTTTTTGGTATTGAAGAAGTTATTATGAAATCCTAATAACTAGTATGAGTTTTATAGACATTTTGATGTAAAGGGTGTGGATTTAGACTAGAGGAGTGTGGATTTAGCCCCGCCCTACATATTAATTATGTAGCAAATTTGTAAGAGAAAAAAAAAACTCGATCACGTCACTGTCTCTCTTATTTTATTGAAATATAAGCCTTCCAGCTTCCTCCAGCCCTGTCCACTGTTAAATTCTCCCATGTAGCTCATCTTTAGTCTTTCTATTCTTGCAAATAACCCCGGCTATATCCAGGGAAATTTGCTGGTACCAATTCTTTTCCTCCAATCCATTGTGCAATTAATTCTACATATTAATTGGCTTCATTAATTGAATGAACTACTAAGCTTCATTTTAATTCTCGAATTCTAGCCTAGTCATCGGATTAACAATGTGACTGACATTTACTTTTCTTTCAATCATGTCTTTATCATCCAATCAATATGGTTTTCATGAACCCACTCACGTCCATACCTGTTACTTTGTATCGACAGTTTTCACATACCATGTGCTTGTGCAAACGGGATTTGGGCCCGATGGTGTTGTGTGCAAAACGGGATCTGGGCTGGTGGTGTTGTGATTATGTATGATTTGATCCCGTTACTGTATTTATTACATTATTTGGTGTGTAATTGTATTATATTATTATACTAGTAAAAAAGTGATGTGCATAAAATATTTGCATATATTCAATACAAGATTATAATATAGTTATAAACATATATAACAACCAATGTTTTAAAAAGCGTTCGCAGGGCGAGCCCCGAGGACAAGGCATTCCAATACTGCTCCTGGGTGATCGCATAAGGCGAAAGTGTTGTGAGGTATACGTCCTAGGCGTTTGGGCACCCCTCTGAAGTGGGGTGTTAAAAGCGTACGCCCCACAAATTGTCTTAGAAAAAAAAGATTTAACTTCATCACTTAAGTTTTTAACTTTTTCATATTCAGCTTTACTACTAATATACTATCTTTTATATTGAGACATTGGGGTGAATTTGATATGAATTTATTTGAAATACAATATATGGTTAGACAAGAAAGGTAAAGGAAAAGATATTGTTACCTGTAGATTAGATCCTGTGATGGGATGGAAATACCGGAACCACCATTAACTATTAGAAAAAAATTATTTAGTGTATATACACTAGATGAAGATGATGACATGGATGATAGTAACTTTGATGAATAGTATCATTTTATTTGTCAGTTTATTTCAAATTATTGGTGCTATTCCTTGTTATGTATTATAAGCAATATGGTTGCTAATTTGGTATTTTATTTTTGATATTAGTTAAGTGTGTTTATTGAAACAATTAACCTTTGAAGTTTGTATCTACTTGAATTTATGTGTTAGTAATTTAAGTGCTTGATAATGTGCTGACTTTTAAATTGTGACTAGTTTGTTTGAGAGGTTGAACTTTTTGTAATGTTAATTATTCTGCTTTTTTGTGCAACTAATATTAGTATGTATGTTTCTTAAAGTATTAGTTAGAGTCATACAATAATAATTCTTTATTTGTACAAATTTTCTAATTTTATTATATTTATTTATATCTTCAAATGAATTTTTTATAATATATATCTATATATCATATTTATATATATATTTAAAAAATAAAAATTCACGGAGCTTACGCCCTCATGCCGCGGAGCTTTCACCCTATTAGAACGGATATTAAATGCCGCCCAACGCCTTTGCCTATTAAAACATTAATAACAACTAGACTGAACAGCACAAGACAACAGCTCCGGCGCACATTCCGTGCAAAGCTACATTGACTTCAGCGTTTGTCTTCGTATCATTCATATACTTTGTCCGAACAGCTTTACCACTGAAATGATTCAAACCACTCTTATCATTCTTTAGAATTTCCGTACTTACATGTTCATTTATGGCATTGCTTTTCTGTTATGAGACTGGTGCCTCATTTAGGAATTATGTTCAAAAGCTACCGCAAGTCCTTCAAGTTCCCCATTCCCTAAAACCAATTCAGGGTTGGCCACCACCTAGTTTGGTAGGGTGCAACGAAACCTTGCCTCCCACCAAAAATATCATATTTAAATGATTTGCTTCAAAAAAAATTCAGGCGGGTGTGTTGTGCACCCGTTTGGTCCGGTGGTGATTTAATTCCCTCCGGATTATCCCTGGACCTCCTTAGGCTCGCCCCTCCCCTTGTAGAATAGGTTAGATTATACAATAGTTGACGTCTCCGGAAAAAAAAAAAATTCAAGGTTGGCGCATAAATTGATGTTTCAACAAACCCTGATGCCTACTTGTAATAATTGCACTTCAACCATATCGACCCAGTGTAGCACACACTTTCACAGACTTGGTACAAGCTAAATTTCCTGAATATCCTGTGGCAAATTACTCGAACTTTTTCAAGCCTAAACATAAGTTCACAGAAAAATCAACACAACCCAGTCGAAAATAATTTCTAAGTTCCTATCACAAATATCTAGTAATAATCTTCACAAGTTACTTCACTACATACCCCAAATGAATCAGCTTCTTTCCAACTATAAGCCCGTGTGGTCCACGAGCATTTTTTGAAGAAATTCTGGTTATATAGGAGGAATATTAAAAACAACTACAAGCTAATAACAGCAATCTCCAAAATAGTCTAAAGTTCATTGTATAGCATTGGTTTGGAGCATCCACCATCAGTCTATAAACTCTGAAGTCTATTACATGACGAAAAGTTCATGATAATTTGACTCTACCACAGCTAATTAGGAGACATAAACCGTGCCCGGGCAAGATGGTATTCTTTCCCAGCAATCACAACACCAGTAGACGTCCAGTTGATATCCTCCCACTCTAGATTGTCTGCCAATACCTGTCAAATAATTTCATGAACACAACAGAAGTTCAGAAAAATGGACCTTCTGTAACAGAGACATTGTGCTAGTTTTTCCTAGACAACACTACCAGGTTAAGAGTCCCAAGTCATTTCATTTTGTTTACACATTCATGTACAATTGTTTGTTACTCTCTTTCATTGGTTTGTCCATTAAACTTGCAAGGGATACCATTTACAAGTTTTTCGAAAAAACTAAAAGCTTAATAATTTTAGAAAACTACAACAATCCTTAGAAACCAAAACTTGTGATTACAGAAATTGCATTATGCTTTTAGTCGTGAACTCTTCATGTCAAACTAAATATTCACAGATTAACTCATAATACAAGGAAAGAGAAGACAAGAACCCCAAAAGGTGGCTGATCTACTTTCACTGTATCCTAAAAAGGGTCAATCTCATACTGGATGCAGCAGAACGACCCTACAAAGATGTATTAACTTCTCAATACCTCCACATGTTCAAGGGGCAGTGGGAT